CCCTTGTGAATTGGGTTCAGTCACAGTTCAGACAGTTGAGGGTTCAAAACGCGGGGCAAGATCTCCCACTTTGGAAGGGCTTTCTGGGGAAGATGACCCCCAGAGGCTGCCTCCAGGGTAACAAGCCTTCAGTGATGGAGGGTGAAGCACATTTCTTCATTCACAGCACAGATAATTAGTATATTCGCAGAGTTGTGCAAACATCACCACAAACAAGTTTAGAACTTTTTTTTTTTTTTTAACCACATCACGCGGCATGCGGGATCTTTAGTTCCCTGACCAGGGATTGAACCCATGCCCTCTTCAGTAAAAGCATTGAGTCTTAACCACTGGACCACCAGGGAAGTCCCAAGTGTAGAACATTTTCATCACCCTAAAAAAGAAATCCCTTAGCCGGCCTCTCTCGATCCTCCCGTTCCCCAGCCCCTGGCAACTACTAATCTACTTCCTGTGTCTTGTGGATTTGCCTATTCCTGACATTTCATTTAAATGGAATCATACAATATGGGGCCTCTTATATCTGATCTTTTTACTTAGCATAATGTTTTCAAGGTTCATTCTTCTTGTAGCATCTATCGGTACTGGATTCCATTTTATTGCAAAACAGTATTCCATTGTATGGATTATACCACATTTTATCAGTTCATCAGTTGATAGACATTAATTTCCACTTGGAAGCTATTATAAATGATGGTGATATGAGCAATCATGTACACGTTTTTATGTGGACATGTGTTTTCTTTTCTCTTGGGAAATACCTAGGAGTATAGTTGCTGGGTCATAGGGTAAGTCTAGGTTTAACCTTTTGAGGAACTGCCAGACTGTTTTCCAAAGTGGCTGAACCATTTTATAAGTCCGCCAGCAGGGTATGAAGTTCCAGTTTCTCTACATTCTCACCAATACTTGTCTTTTTCATTATAGCCATCCTAGTGGGTAGTATTTCATTGTGGTTTGGATTGTATTTCCCTAATGACGAATGATGTTGAACATCTTTTCATGTGTTTATTGGACATTTGTGTATTTTCTTTGAAGAAATCTATATTCAGATCCTTTGCCATTTTTAAGTGGATTATTTGTCTTACTATTGAGCCGTAAGCGTTCCTTATATAGCCCAGCTACAGGTGCTATATCAGATATATGCTTTGCAACAATTTGTCCTCATTCTTTGTGTTGTCTTTTCACTTTCTCCATGTTGTCCTTTGAAGCACAGAAGTTTTTAATTTTGATGAAGTCCAGTTTATCTTTTTTGTCTTTTTTTGCTTGTGCTTTTGGTGTCATATATAAGAATCCATTACCTAATTTAAGGTTATTAAAATTTATATCTATGTTTTCTTCTAAGAGTTTATAGTTTTAGCTCTTACATTTAGATATATCTCTGATCCATTTAATTTTGTCAATTTTTTACTGTGGATAAATACACATAAAATTTACCATCTTAACTAAGTGTACAGTTCAATGGTATTAAATACATTCATCACTTTGTGTGGCCATCACCACCACCCATCCCCACAACTGTTTTCAGCTTGTAAAACTGCCCCTTTCTCCAGCTCCTTGCAACCACCATTCCTAGGTACGATTTTCCTAGAACAGTATCTTCTCAACATTAGGCATCCACATCCCACCTCCTTGGTTTATGCAGAGCGGCCCCTTTCCATCCTCCTAAGACGCCACTGCCTGTCCCAAGATTCTCCTATTTATTTCAGTCCATCCCCTTTGAAACTTTCAACCGCGACTGTGACCGAACAATCGGTATCACTTGCCGTGAATGGAAGTTTGCTGTAAAAGTAAATGCAACGAAAACTACTATTTGCACATTTTCAGTGGATAGCATTGCCCACCCAAAGTGCAGAGTTTGGGGTCCTGGGGAGAGGCTAAGTGTTAAAGCTACTTTCTCATTGGGGTGACCAAGAGGGATCAACAGACTCAAAAAGGGAACACTGGTCTCTCGGGTTGAATAGAGTAAGATGCCAGCCCCACCCCATTCCCCACCCCTGCCAGCCCACAGTGGACATGTAGCATGACATGAGGGAAATAAACAGTCACTGAAATCTGACACACAACTGTGTGGCCATAGCATAATCTAGTTCATCCTGATGGATACAATTAAGAGTCCATTGGCAGGATGCTAGGCCTTAGCTGAGTGTTCCCCAACCTCATTCGATGACATACCACCGTCAATTTGTTTTGCTGTAGTTGTGTACCATGCATTTTCCTTTAAATCAGCTTAAAAACAAAAGAAAACAGATCAATTTATTTTCAAAGAGGACTTCCTACCACTACCATGAGTGAGAAACTGGTATCTCTTGTCAGTAGAGGAAAAAGGGGGAGAGGGGAAGTAAAATAAGTACCAGGAGAGCAAAACAATATTAAATTCTAGCAACAACTCTTGCCTGAGCCTGAGGCCTACTGTGTCTTTGTAACTAGAGAGGAATAAATATGCTGTCCACGCTTCCTCCTTGATCAAGTAGGATTGCATGAGAATGGAAAAGTGCCAGTTGATGACGTGCTGAGGACCAACTGAAATTGAGTGGTTCCCTGGTGGTCCTTGCCCCTCCCAGACTTTGGGAAAACAGATTTAACCATCTCATCGTGGGGTGGTTTTCACCATTAGGAGCCCTCCCATCCTAGAATGTGAGCACTTGGCAGGTAGTGACTGTGCATGCCCAGCCCCTGCCCGGGTGTGTGGCACTGAGCTGAGAAAAGCAACCAAAACTTAGAAACTCAAAACTTTAATCAGAGAACCAACACGCAAACATGAGGTCGGGCATTTCTACACTGGCCCACAGAACACAGGTCACTAGTTACATAGATCCCCCACCGCCTTCCCCCACACACAATGGCTGCCAACTTTCTACAAGACCTCTGACCTCTATCTGTGGTGTCAAAACTCTTGGTTGAACACACTTATCAAGTTGAGTTTCCGCCCCTGCCCTGTCCTGCCCCTTAGGTATCTATCAGGCCTGTTGCCCAGATACAACAGGTGGGGAGTTGGACGTTTCCGCCATTTGAAAACCAGTACACTCCCCACTGTGGTGTGAACGGTCAGCCAACAAGGTCCCAGTTTCAACGACAAAACCAACCAGCACAACTCAAGGTGCAAGGTTTGAAAATCCCAAGAGTCCAGAGCACATACTCCTGAACTTTTTTTAGCACCAAAAATATGAAAGAATATTGAAAGTGTCAAGAGTCCAATGTCTTTGTAAGATTGTGCTTCAGCAAAGAGGTGACAGGGTCACTTAGCTGGTGGGACACAAAAGCTCAGGGCCGAGGAGGTGCCATCAAGAGAGCTGGTGGTGTGGTTCCCTGAGATGAGACTCAGCTGTAGAACAGGCCTGGCCAAGGTGAGCAGTGAACTCTGGGGCTCCAACAGGAAGGACTGTGTCCTCACTGGGCTTGCCAACACTCCTCAGGGGAATTGCTGTGATATGAGAGAGTGTGGTATTTTAAGACATCACTTGGCAATGGAAACGAGGCCATCCATTTCCCTTTGATTCTAGAAGCTTCAAGGCAAGGGCAGGGATTACCATATTGGTGTTCCCCACCCTGGAGCCTAGGGAAGCACCTGGTGAGTGGCCACCTTGGACAACTGGTAAAGGAGGAACATTCCAGCACTCGTTTCTGTGCATCAGTTTTTGCTACCAAGCACATCTGTATAAATGGTGTGCACTGTGTGGAGACAGCAACATCCAATGCAGCTTTCCTAACTGAATCCAGCTGCTTATGGTATTAACTCTCACGATAAACTGGGTCTCATCATTTAACCAACAACTTTAAATAGGAGATTATGGGAAGGGGTGGCATGTGGATATGGGAGGGGGTCCTTTTGAGTGAGAGGTTTGGGAGGTTAGGAGTGGAAAGTTCTTGCCATGCAATGTTAGTTTACGTGTTCTTGACTTTTTGTGGGTTAAGAAAGTACTAGGACAGGGCTTCCCTGTTGGTGCAGTGGTTAAGAATCCACCTGACAATGCAGGGGACGCAGGTTCGAGCCCTGGTCCAGGAAGATCCCACATGCCACGGAGCAACTAAGCCCGTGCACCACAACTACTGAGCCTGTGCTCTAGAGCCCGCGAGCCACAACTACTGAGCCTGTGTCCCACAACTACTGGAGCCTGCGTGCCTAGAGCCCATGCTCCACAACAAGAGAAGTCAACGCAGTGAGAAGCCTGTGCATCGCAACAAGGAGTAGCCTCCACTCGCCACAACCAGAGAAGAGCCTGTGTGCAGCAACGAAGACCCAATGCAGCCAAAAAAATAAATACATAAAAGTTTAAAAAAAAAAGAAAGAAAGAACTAGGACAGAGCTGAGAGATGGAGGGAAGAATAAGGCTAGGCTTTTTCTTTTTCTTTTTGTTTTTAAGAGCAAAGTGCTGCGTTTTTGGATCCAACGAAGACAAGGATATTTTGGTGGAAAACTTTAAAAATAAAAGCCATGCACATTATTAGTAATAACGTTAACTTCAGTGAAATAAAGATAGAGGGTTGCTTAATTTTCTCTTTTAACATAAAAGAGTATATTTGTTATATCTGATGCATGTTTGTAGCTCACACTTGGTGAGTACTTACTATGTGTTGGGCACTTAGTTCTAAAGTGCTTTACATCTCTTTATTTTCACAACAGCCCTATGAAGTAGGTAGCTATTATTTTGCCCACCTTACAGATGAGGACACTGAAGCCCTGAAAGGTTCCATGACTTTTCCTAGGTCACTTAGGTGGCAGATGGCAGAGCTGGGATTTAACTCAGCAGACTGGCTCCAGTCTACGTCTGACTTCCAAAGCTCCACAGCTTCTCAATGTTTGTGTTTTCATTGTTTTAATGAAACTCATGTGTGCAAATTTTCTAATCAATCTTTATTGATAAAGAGATTTATTACTCTTGGGGAGGAGGGGCTTACACTGGGATGGTTTCAACTTTAGGCCTCAGATGAACACATTCTCAGATGTCTGGGATCCTGCTGCCACCCAGCAGCCACCCAGCAGCCATGGGCAGAATTGCTACCTGCTACTTTGGAGTGTGAACTCACTGATGTCGGCTAAGACCTAAGCAGCAGCACAAGGCTTTCTGACAATGTGGACACTGATGTGGTTTCTCCTTGGTGTGAATTCTCTGATGCTGACTGAGATGGGCTCTAAGGCCAAAGGCTTTCCCACACACATCACAAGCATAAGGCTTCTCCCCAGTGTGAGTTCTCTGATGCTGCATCAGATTTGCTTTCTGGGTGAAGGCTTTCCCACATTCGGCACACACAAAAGGCTTCTCCCCACTGTGAACTCTCTGATGCTTAGAAAGGCATGAGCTCTGGCTGAAGGCTTTCCCACATTCCTGACAAACATAAGGCTTTTCTCCAGTATGAATCCTCTGGTGTCGGATGAGTAGAGCACGCAGGCTGAAGGTTTTCCCACAGTCGCCACATTCGTAGGGTTTCTCACCTGTGTGAACTCTCTGATGCTTAGAAAAGCACGAGCTCTGGCTGAAGGCTTTCCCGCATTCCTGACAAACGTAAGGCTTTTCTCCAGTGTGAACTCTCTGGTGTCGGATGAGTTGAGCGCCCAGGTTGAAGGTTTTCCCACAGTCACCACATTCATAGGGCTTCTCACCTGTGTGAATTCTCTGATGCTTGGAAAGGCACGAGCTCTGCTGTGATGTTTTCCCGCATTCATTTTCCTCAAAGGGCTTCTTTCCTGCCTGAGTTCCCTGATGCTGAACGAGGTGGTTACTGTAGGCAAAGACTTCGTCACACTTGTTAGGTTTAAAGGGCTTCTCCGCAGTTTGGATTAACTGATGTTCTGAGAGACATGCACTTTGGCTGAAGGTCTTTCCACTTTTGTTACATTGAAAGGAGTGCTCACTCTTATGGATGGACTCATGTTTGGCAAGGGAGGCACTATAAACGAAGGCCTTCCCACAGTCCCTACATTCATACGGCCTCACTCCAGAGTGGATCCTCTGGTGGCGGATGAGCTGTGAACTTTGGCTAAAGGCCTTCCCACACTGGTTACACTCAAAGGGCTTCACCCTGGCGTGAATCTTCTCATGCTGAGTCAGGTATTTGCTGCAGCTGAAGGTTTTCTCACATTTGTTACACTTAAAGCTCTTCTCGCTGACCCTTGGAGGCTCTCTGTGCTCTGGGTTCTCATTCAAGATCTTCCTGCTCTCGTCGAGTCCTTGTTTTTCTCTGGTATGAACGCTCTGGTGGCAAGTTAGGGTCGAGTGGCAAATGAAGCGCTCACCACACTCCTGACATTCGTAGGGGGTTTCCACAGTGTGGATTTTCTGGTGCTGAACAAGGTGTTCATTGTGGCTGAAGGTCTCCTTGCATTCGGCACAGCTGTAGGGCTTTTCTGTGGCGTGAATGGACAGGTGTCGATTTAGGTGGGAGGGCCGGGTGAAACTCTTGATGCATTGGTGGCACTTGTGGGGCCTGTAGCCCGTGTGAACCCTCTGGTGTTCATTAAGGTGAGTGTTCCGGTAAAAGGCTTTCCCACATTTGTTGCATTCGTAAGGCTTCTCGCCCCTGTGAACCCTCTGGTGGGTCTTTAGGGTCAGGATATGGCTGAAGCATTTCCCACACTCATCGCACTTATAAGGTTTTTCTCCAGTGTGAACAGACTGGTGTTTGACAAGCAAGGAGCTTCGCCTGAAGGCCTTCCCGCACTCCTGACACACAGCAGTCGTTTTTGCAGCATGAATTTTCTGATGTTGGAGGAGGTGTTTGTTAAAGTTGAAGATCGCCTTGCAACTGGCACATTCGTAGAGTTTCCGAGTGTGGGTTTTCTGATACCGGGTGAGATGAAAGGTTTGGCTGAAACTCTCACCATGTTCATTACATTTGTAGGATTTGCCACCTGGGGGTGGGTTGTGACACTCAACAGGCTGTGAGTCTTGACCTGTTGGACCATCACTGTCTTGACTCTTATATGGTTTTTCTTCACTGTGAATGTTCTGATGCCACAGGAGGTATGTATTCTGACTAGAAGTCTTCCCGCACTTGTTACCCACATAGGATTTGGAGCCTGTGTGAGTCACTGACTGCACAAAAAGGCAAGAACTCTGGTTGACATCTTTCTCATTCTCTTGAGGCACAGTGGGGTCCTCCCTAGTGTGAAGAATCCAGTGCTGGATCAGATGGTAGCTCTGGCTGAAGCTCTTCTCACACTGACTACATTTATATGGTTTCTCCCCTCCCTGGATGTTATCCTGCTGGTTCTGGTCTGAGTAGCACCCAAAGTCATTCCCACTTTCCTGAGACTTAGCTGGTGTCAGGCTCCTTTCAGGAAGATCAAGAGTCACAGAACCTGCTCCTGGGAAAAGGAGGGACTTGGGACCAAGGCCTCTCTTGAGTTTGTGGCTCTCGAGTTCGTGGCTCTTGCATTCTGTGGGACTTTCATTGCTGGTAACAATATCGGACTTCAGAAGACTTTCCGGATCTCCAAGCAAACTATCTAACCAGCTCTGATCTATGCAGGCTTCTTCCAGATCGGAGTTCCAGAAGCCATCCTTGGAAAACATCTCGGTAATCTCCTCGAAGAGTCCTTCTTCCAAGAAGTCCTCTGGCAGAGGAGAGGTCTTGCCCTCAGCAGTGTCTGAAAGAGAGGGCAAGAGCAGATGTCTCCTGTGCCCTGGGGGTTAAAGACGGGAGCTGCATGCTGAGAGCAGACAAAAGGGAGAACAGGTGATGGGTCCTGAGTCAGGCCTATCTGGCAAGGAGATGAAGGAGACAGGGCCAAAGTGGTGATCCAGCTGGAACTGGCATCACAGGAAACAGAGCCCATTTCCAGGAGGATTAAGAGGGAAGCTGGGCAACCTCGAGGGTTCCACAGAGAAGTGGAGGCTCTCAGTGGATACTCTCCACCATCACCCCCATCAGCTAAGGCCCACTTCCTAGAGAAGTGAACTCAATGGAAAAGATGTATAAATGATAACAATGCAATATGATTGTTACCACGTGGTTATCATTGTAACCACATCCAAAGGTGGTTTGCACATGGTTACACATGCTTGGAACCAGCCTGGATGTTAAGGTGGCAGAAACAGAAATCCACAGTTGCAGGAGCCTGGGCCTATGTGAAAACACCTGTGTGCTCAACGGGAGGCTACAGAAGGTCCATGTTCACAAGCTCACGAGAGGTGAGCAGAGAATGGAGCTCCAGGCTGACGGCTGGGGTGTAGGCTGAGACTGAGCCATGCAGCCTCCACTCCATGGCCTCTGGTTCAGGGGTCCTTCTCCTCATGTTAACAGCCTAACAATGAGAAAAGCCTCCAGTGCCCCAGGCAGGGCCCTGCCTCTGCTTTTTCCTCCTGGGGATGTCTCAACCAGTGTTAACACCCGGGAATCCTCACTGCTTGACTGGATCCCCTGGAGAAACCATGGCCTGGAAGAGGGCAGACCGAAGGCTCTTGGCAGCATTTAGGCCTGGGCTTGAGTTACTAACAGATGGGCCATCTGCTAGGCCCTGTGGACCAGGAAGGAAGGATGGGCCTGAACGAAAGTGGGGTGAAACAGGTAGACAGGGGGTCCACAGTGCTCAAGGGGCACAAGGCAGGAAGGTGGAGAGACCAACTCAGGGAATGGAAGGCCAACCCCTGCTGAGTCTGGAAGGATGTGGAGGGGACAGAGGAAGGGCACCAGGACAACCACATGCTGAACACAGAGGCAGGCGGAGATAAGGCATGCAGGGTGAGGGTCCTGAACCTAAAGCCAGTGCAAGGCAGAGTGAAGCCCGGAAGCAGGGAATCAAGCTGTCTGGGTAGACAAACTGGGTGGGATGGAGGTCCCAAAGATGGAGGGCCCACAAAGGGCCACACCCCACGACCCCTCCACCCTCCTGCTCGCTGGGTGCTGGTGGGCCCTCTCTGCCCACTCACCAGGGTCTGTTGACTCTGGGCTTCCTTTCGCCAGGGCCGCCAGCTCTTCCCCATCATCTGGATGAGAGGGCAGGTTGGGTCTGGGGGGATCTGAAGGGAGAGAAGAGCATTGTCACCAACCAGATGACAGCAGCATGGAGGGCCATCCAGCCACTGCGTGGTAACCTCCCAGCTCTCCTGACTATTCAGCACCTTATCCAGCGCACGGTTCCCAAGGACCAGATGCAGCACTGGGTGACTCCAGGGATGCCTGCCCTACAGGGTTCCCAGTCCAGTGAAGGAGAGGGACCTGGACAGTCACAATCCAGAATGATCAAAGCTGTGACAACTGGGCCTGGGAACACAAAGGATCTGTAACAGCTCTTGAGGAATGAGCAGAGTGGCCGGGGAGAGGTAGGTACTTCCTCGGCCATCTGAGATTTGTTCATTCACCCATGGACCACACATGGCCAGAGGCCTCCGTGGGCCAGGCCCTGTGAAGTGTATTGGGGTCCCAGAGCTCAATCCCGCACTCTACCCCCTGCAAAATTCCTCAAGGAAGGGAACACAGAGTTGTAATCCCTGGGGAAATGTGCTACAGTGGGGAGAAAGCCACTGCTAACTTCAAAGATGAGAGGCCATGAGCCCAGCAAGTAGGCTTCATCTTTTAGCTGAAAGAGGGCAAGGAAAGAGATTCTCCCCTACAGCCTCCAGAAGGAACCAGCCATGCCCACACCTGGATTTCAGCCAAGGCAGACCCACTTCAAACGCCTGACCTCCATGGGGCTTCCCTGGTGGTGCAGTGGTTAAGAATCCGCCTGCCAATTCAGGGGACACAGGTTCGAGCCCCGGTCTGGGAAGATCCCACATGCCACGGAGCAACTAAGCCCATGCACCACAACTACTGAGCCTGCGCTTTAGAGCCCGCAAGGCACAACTACTGAGCCCACGTGCCACAACTACTGAAGCCCACGCACCTAGAGCCCGTGCTCTGCAACAAGAGAAGCCACTGCAATGAGAAGGCCGCGCACCACAACAAAGAGTAGCCCCGCTTGCTGCAACTAGAGAAAGCCCGTGCTCAGCAATGAAGACCCAACTCAGCCAAAAATAAAATAAAACAAATAAATTAAAAACAACCACAAAAAACAAAAAACTTCTGACCTCCAGAACCATCAGTCAGTGTGTGCTGTTTTCAGCCACATTTGTGGCGTCTGCAAGAGCACCATAGCAAATGATTACACCACTCATATATATAGACACACAAACGTGTGCCAGGGAGTCAAGGGAAACACATTTCTACCATGGATTGTAATTTAAAAATTGCAGACACTGAGATTTGACCTCCCACAAGCTGCTTCTGTAGCACACATTGAGCAGTTTAGAGAAAATCTGCCCCAGTGCAATAAAATTACATGAAATGATACTTTTCAGTGTGTAATCCTTTTTTTCCTTTTTAAAAATCTTTTGGAATAAATTATTTTTTCTGCTTTTGGAAAAGAAAGAAGCAAGGAACTTGAGAAGGGGAAATGAGCTGATCAGGATGAGGTGACACGGATGAAGAGCAGCACAGGCTCCACCTAGTGTCTCAGCCCTGCCGCTCCCTCCCTGGGTGACACTGCTGTTCACAGCCCAGGGAAAACGGTTAGTGCCGCAGGCTGCCTGCTCTCCTTGGAAAGTCCTGCTCGCAAGGCTGGCCCTTGGCTGGTGTCTGGGAACCTGGATTTCGGGGGTGGGGGGTTCCAGCATTCCCTAACTAATAAGAGGGGCTCCCTGTACCCAAACGCCTGCTTCCCTTCGGGGAGTCTAGGATTTGAGTACGTGGCAGGCAGAGGATGCCTATGCGACCAGCCCCCGGTAAAGAACCTGGGTGCTGGGTCTCTAATGAGCATCCTCGTAGACATTTCATATGTGTTGGCGCTGGTCGCTGGGGGAATTAAGCAATGGCCGTGAATAGGACCATTTGCTGAGTCCCGAGAGTCCTCCTAGTCAATCACCAAATGTCGGGGTGCTTCTGGGGACTCCCACAGAGCTGAGAAGGTGAATTCCCTTCTCTGAACCTCGATTTCAGGAGGATCAAGAAAACAGGGAGCCAGACTTCCTTGCACGGTGACTGGAAGATGGGAGGAGAGGATTGTAAGCGCTTGCCCAGCACAAGACCCAGCTCCTGACACAGCGGCTCTTGCTGCTCACTCATCTATTCGTTGAGCCCCCAAAGCGGGTACTGTCCGTTCCGGACACGGGGGCTCCACCAGGGAGCAGCATGAGTCCCTGTCCGCAGGAAGCTCCCATCCTGGCAGAGGGAGACAGACCATAAAATGAGCGGTCAGAACATGAAGGAGCGGTGGGCAAGCCGGGCAGGGGAAAAGCAGGGAGTGCTCATGGGCTTGCAGTTTGTCTTAAAAAAGGGAAGCCCCATGGTGGTGCAGTGGTTAAGAATCAGCCTGCCAAAGTGGGATCCCAATGTCGGCTCTTCCCGGACCAGGGATCTAACCTGGTCCGGGAAGATCCCACATGCCACGGAGCAACTGAGCCTGTGCGCCACAACCACTGAGCCCGTGAGACACAACTACTGAGCCCATGTGCCACAACTACTGAAGCCCACGCACCTAGAGCCCGTGCTCTGCAACAAGAGAAGTCACCACAATGAGAAGCCTGTACAGCACAACGAAGAGTAGCCCCTGCTCGCCGCAACTAGAGAAAGCCTGTGCATAGCAACAAAGTCCCAACACAGCCAGAAATAAATAAATTTTTTTTTTTTTTTAAGGGAAAAAAGAAAAAAGGGGAAGCCCTGAGTCAGGGAGGGGACAGAGGAGAGCAAATGCAAAGATCCCTAAGTGTCAGCTGGAGGAATTCTTCTACCATGATAACAGGAAAGGCAGGGGCCAGATCAGAGTTTCTCAACCTGGGCACTACTGCCATTTGGGGTCGGATAATTCCTGCATTCTGGGATATGTGGCAGCACCTCTGGGCTCCACCTACTGGATTCCAGGAGCACACCCACCACTGCCAACTGGTGACAATCAAAAAGGTCGCCAGGCATTGCCAATGTTGCAGAATCGACCAGCTGAGTACACTGGTCTGAGGCACTCAGGAGGCAGGGGCCCCTTCCATGGGTGACAAGAGAGCCACGGGTGATCACCGAGCAGGGCAGTGATAGGCCCCTGGGGCTG